CAACAGTATGGCAAAACAACAGGATGAGGGGTAACAAGTTGAAGCTTAATCCTGACAAGACAGAGGTCCTCCTGGTCCGTTGTGCAACTGGTCAGGGTATAGGGTGGCAACCTGTACTCAACGGGGTTACACTCCCCCTGAAGACACAGGTCCACAGTTTGGGGGTCCTTCTGGATGCAGCACTGACACGTGATGCTCAGATGGTGGTGGCGGCCATTAGGGTTTTACACAGTTGAAGCTTGTGCACCAGCCAGTCAAGAAACCTGACTTGGCCACGGTGGTCCACGTCTTAGTTACCTCCAGATTGGATTACTGTAATGCACTCTACGTGGGGCTGCCTTTGAAGACAGCCCAGAAATTGAAATTGATACAAAGGTCGGTGGCCAGGTTGTTAACTGGAGTAAACTATAGGGAGCGTACAACCCCCCTATTGGGGGAAGTCCCTTCGAGGAGATAGTATTGGGATATAAGCCCCCACTGACTGTCAATAAGTTTCCAGTCACAGTTCAAGGTGCAGGTTATCACCTGTAAAGCCCTAAATCAGTGGTTCTCAACCTGGGGTCTCCAGATGTTTTTGACCTTCAACTCCCAGAAATCCTAACAGCTGCTAAACTGGCTGGGATTTCTGGGAATTGTAGGCAAAAACCATCTGGGGACCCCAGGTTGAGAACCACTGCCCTAAATGGTTTGGGTCCTGCCTATCTTCACGATTGCATATTCCCCTATGAACCTGCACAAGCCTTAAGATCTGCTGGGGAGGCCCTTCTCTTGCTCCCACCACCATCACAAGCATGGTTGGTGGGGATGAGGGAGCGAGCCTTTTTGGTGGTGGCCCCCTAGCTCTGGAACTCTCTCCCAGGGAGATTATATTAGAGCCCACCCTGTCCATCTTCCAAAAAAAACCTGAAAAATTGGATGTTGCAATGTGCCTTTGATTAATTGATTAATCTATTGACAAGGCACCCCTATCCCTAACTTATTGTCTGGCTTTGTAGCACTTTATTGCCCTCCCTGCCCTTACAGCTATACTGCACTAGCCCATACCCTGCCCTCCTAGATGTGAACATGCTCACTGTTCTCAGCTACAGGTTGATGGTTACTGATGTTCTTAAGTTTTTATGATGTTTGTTGTTTGGTTTTAATGTTTTAATTGTTGAAATGCAATGTATTTTAATTGTACTATATCTTACATCTGTTTTTGCTGGGCTTGGTCCCCATGTAAACCGCCCAAGTATCTTTGGGGAGATGGTGGTGTGGTATAAGAATAAAGTTGTAGTAGTAGTAGTAGTAGTTGTGTTGTTGGTATTTTGCCTCTGTCTGTCTTGACCACACTCTGATGTTGCTTGGTGCTGTAGTTTCATCTGTGAAATGTTGGAGAGTATAAAATTGCATGACAAAGCCAGGATTTGAGAGAAAGGACCTAAAATTTCAGTATAGTCATCACCCCTCTGTGTTAATCTGAACATATATTTTACAAGCTTTTTCACTGGCATAAGAAATAGAGAACTCTTGAGTATTTTTTAATGCCAAATACTTCCACAACTGCTCAGCAACTATCCAGATTTTATAAATAATGTTGTATGCGGGTGTCAGTGAACCATACCCTAAGATCTTATTCACCCTTTTCCCTTTTTAAAAAGAACAGTTTGATCAGCTTGGAGCCTTTAACTTTGATTGTGTCCCTTAGCTAATAAGCATCACTTAACAGGAACCCTACATTGAAGGAAAGTGTGTGGTTAGAATTATCCTTCAGGATTTGCAGGAAGGTGCAATAATAAAAACTATGGAGAACATGTTCCTTCTGCAGGCAGATAATTAAATCACAAATGCTTGATTTTCAGAAGTCAAAAGCACTGAATAGTTCCCACTGATTTCACTGTGAACCATGATTAGTCATTTCCACTGAAAGCCAACCTACTTCTGATTTTGATGCCTCAACATACCTTTGTATTATACAACATCAGAGGGCCAACAGTTGCCGTTACAGTCTAATCCAACAGTCTCAATGCAGGTACCTTGGTTTTGTTCATGACAAAACCTAGGAAAATGAAATTGTGAATTACTGTATATACTTGTGTATAAGCTAAGGGTAGGTTTTGGGGGCAAAATTAGGAATTTTGATGTGATCCATTGATAAGTTGAGTACTTACTTACTTACTTAGGTGATCCCTCATTGGACGAGTAAGATGGTCTTCCATGATGGGTTTCCTTGTGGATTCGTAGGTGGTTGTGGAGCCCTGTTCTTTCAGGCCATCTTTAAATCTCTTTTCCTGTCCACCAACGTTCCATTTTCCATTCTTAAGTTCAGAGTAGAGCAACTGCTTTGGGAGACAGTGGTCAGGCATCCGGACAACGTGTCCGGCCCAGCAGAGTTGATGGCAGAGGACCATTGCTTCAATGCTGGTGGTCTTTGCTTCTTCCAGCACGCTGACGTTTGTCCACTTGTCTTCCCAAGAGATTTGCAGGATTTTCTGGAGGCAGCGCTGATGGAATCGTTCCAGGAGTTGCATGTGACGTCTGTAGACAGTCCATGTTTCACAGGCATATAGCAGGGTTGGGAGGACAGTAGCTTTGTAGACAAGCACCTTGGTATCCCTACGGATGTCCTGGTCCTCAAACACTCTCTGCTTCATTTGGGAAAATGCTGCACTCGCAGAGCTCAGGCAATGTTGTATTTCAGTGTCAATGTTGACTTTGGTGGAGAGGTGGCTGCCAAGGTAGCGGAAATGATCAACATAGATGACTTCCACTCCGGTGGGAAGCTTCCCGTCAACAAGGTGAAGTATCATAGCGATGAAGATGGAGAATAGATTTGGGGCAATAACACATCCCTGTTTGACACCCGATTCCACCTTAAATGGGTCACTTTGGGAGCCATTGCTGTCCAAGACTGTTGCCATCATGTCATCATGGAGGAGCCACAGGATGTTCACAAATTTGTTTGGGCACTCGATTTTTTGGAGGATGGTCCAGAGAGCGCTGCAATTCACTGTGTCGAATGCCTTTGCAAGGTCGATGAATGCCATGTACAGAGGTTGATTTTGTTCCCTGCATTTTTCTTGGAGCTGTCATGCAGTGAAGATCATGTCCACGGTTCCTCTGGAGGGGCGGAAGCCATTCTGGGATTCTGGGAGGGTGTCTTCTGAGAGGGGCAGAAGGCGGTTTGCAAGGATTCTTGCGAGGATTTTCCCAGCGGAGGTTAGAAGGGAGATACCTTGAGTATCATTCTGTGGGGAGGGAAAAGTACCAATGCTGTCCCAAATGGTTAGCCAACCCCTGGGCACTACCACCATCTCCCTGTCCAGACATTCATAACTAAAATTTCTAGACATGCATGAGTTTATTTTCTTGTTGTTTATCAGTTCAGTCGCTTCCGACTCTTTGTGACCTCGTGGACCAGCACACCCCAGAGCTCCCTATCAAGCCATTGCTACCCCACCCCACCCCTCACTACTTCAAAGTCAAGCCAGTCACTTCAAGGATCCCATCCATCCATCTTGCCCTTGGTCGGCCCCTTTTCTTTTTTCCTTCCATTTTCCCCAGCATCATTATCTTCTCCAGGCTTTCCTGTCTTCTTATTATGTGGCCAAAGTACTTCATCTTTGCCTCTAATATCCTTCCCTCCAGTAAGCAGCTGGTCACTATGTTCTGGAGTATGGACTGGTTGGATCTTCCCGTGATCCATGGCACTCTCAGAATGTTCCTTTAACACCACAGTGCAAAAGTGTCTATCTTCCTTCATTCAGCCTTCCTTATGGTCCAGCTCTCACAGCCATAGGTTACTATGGGGAATACTATGCGTGAGTTTATACAGGAAGGCATTTAGCATTGCACACAGACTGCTCTTGCCTAGCAGATAATATGGAAAAAAAGTAGTTTCGGTGAATACTTATGGAAGCTTCTAGATATACCCTCCAGCAGTGCTCAAAAATACAATAGCTAAAAATACAGCAGAGTAGACCATGCATACTAAAAATACTGTATAAGGAGTACTAATTACAGATTCCACTTTTTAAAAGGTCTACAGAGTCATTAATAATAAATACTAAATCCCTTTCACATTGATTTTATAGGAAACAATGGAAATTGGCATGATTTAAGCATTTGTACTTTTTATCTTAATGTTAATTATTTTCTTTTGTTATAAGTTTACAGATGTCATCTTATATTATTTTGTAATATATCCCATGGATATTCAAGGTAAATAGTATAGTTAAATGGTATCCCTTATATAAAATGGCAAAATATCAAGGATGCAGTGGTAAATGAAAACTGGATATGACCAGGCAACAAGGGAGCAAAACATTTTAATAAGGAAGAACATTCAAAACTACTTTTTAATCAAATTTAGTTTGCACCAATTGAAATATGCTAAGTACAAAGAAAAAAAGTTGGAAGGTGGGGGCAGGAGGGCTGGAACATTTTAAAAACAACTGAGAAACATTAATTAATCTGGTCTGTCACTGGACAGTGGAAAGGTGTGATGATTGCTCTACAAGAAACTGTAAAGTAGGCCCACCAGGCATGTAGCCAGGGGGGCGGGCTTGGGGCTTCAGCCCCCCCCCCCCCCCCGAAATTTTCATGGTGGTCCTCGAGAAGGCCTTACTGGTGCATTATTTAAACTGTTATGTTTGTTCATATCATGATCTGATCACCATGCTCAATATATCCCACATGCATGGGGGTATTGGGGTAACGATACAAAAGGTTTGCTAGGGTAGACCCTCTTTCACTCAGACTCAGCCCCCCCCCCCCCCCCCAAACAAAATCCTGGCTACGGGCCTGAGGCCCACTATTATTAAATTCAGTCTTATAAACTCTATAAATTCCCTTTATAATCTACTTGCAAATACTCTGGATAATAACTGTAAGCAGTGCCACAGAAAGAAAGGGAAAGGGAAATAAGCTATTGCTGTTCCTTTATTGGAGGAATTAAAACAATGTTTCCTTGTTACAAGGTAAACCCCCATCCTCACCTTCTCTTTTCCATTTAATTTCAGGGCAAACGTTACAAAAACTCCTTGGAGACGGTAGGAACACCGGATTCCAGCAGAGGCCGCAGTGAAAAGAAAGCCATTAAGTAAGTCTCAGGAGGTATCACTGCCGTGAGCAGGTTGAAGGTGTCTGGATCACAACCATTGCATGAACTTCACTCCTTGGAGAGGTGTTGGCTGTTGTGCCAACAGACAAGCTGGCACATGAATAACTAAACATATGTATTCAGTTTTGCAATCTTAAAAACGCTGCCTCGCCTCCTCCACACTTGTGTGTTCGTGTGTCACCTTGACACCACTATGATGTGTGCAATTTTATCGACATGTTCATAAACACCTTGTGCTTCTATACTATACTACAATGTTTTCTCCAAACAACTCCCACTTACACCAAGCTCATCTTGTTCTAGTATTCACACACCAATGCTCTCCTTCTGTTGCCCTGAGATTATGCCCTATGTAGGCAATGCTACTACTGCTTTAGTGAGCAGACACACACGCCATCCAACTAGTCCCCCCTGGTATGTAGAGAAGTATCATAGTTGTAATTAAACTGTAACAGTTATTTCTAAATTAACACCTAAAACTATTGATCAGCATGTGCAAATTTTGTGCAGATCTGCACCCCACTTTTTTCTCTTTCTCTGTATACCCCTCACCCCATCTTTAGCTCGCTATTTTCTCTGAACATATACCTGTATTTCAGACTCATCTCCCCTTGCTCACATCTGTGACATCAACAGTTGCAGACTGCCCAAGGAATCAGTCCCAAGAATCAGTGTTCCTTTGTGTACAACCATCCATACTTGACAGAGTTCAGCATTTGTCCTGTCAGTGACCAAGCATTAAATCCCCTGTATGGAATAACAAGCAATTTGTATCCCTTATTTCTTCCTCTAAGGGACCTTCCACACAGCCATATAACCCAGAATATCAAGGCAGATAATCCACCATATCCACTATGAACTGGGTTATCTGAGTCCACACCACCATATAATCCAGTTCAATGTGAATTTTATACTGCTGTGTGGAAGGGGCCTAAGTTTTATTTTCGGCTTAGCTAAGACAGAAAGTTAACAAAAGCCTTCAAGCTTCTTATAGTGTGGAGAAGACAATAATAATAATAATAATAATAATAATAATGAGATGGAGATTAACTACCTCAATCCTGTTTTGCCTATTCAGATTTCTGAGCAAGACTATGCCTTTTAGATTACAGCTATCAGTTTCAGGCAAAATATATGGCTGACAACATAATCTGTTTTTGAGCTATTTACTTTAAAAACAAATCCCTTGCTCAAAAGCCACTCTGCTCTAGGTTCTCTCTATGATCTTGCCCCATAGAATCCACTGTATTCTTTTGAAAAATAGGATTCCATGTGTGCTATATTTTCTAGAAACTTTTAGGACAAAAGCTTTGGGAAGGAAGTGGGGTGAAAACTTCCCACCCAACTCTTTTTGGAGAAAGCATCATAAGAAAGACCTAGAATGTCTACTTTTTAATTTAGTAGTACACAAAGTCTGTTTTACCTAACAATTTGGAGTTATGCCTACTCTGGACTTGTAACCTAATTCCTTGTTTGATGTTAAGATGGTGTTGCTTTGCTGTTTCTCCCACTCCATTTTTTTTAATGTTTCTGGTTTGTTGACAGGAGTTGATTCTGATCAGCCAATTAAGCTGGATTTCATCCAAATAAATGCTTCCCTTCTTTTTCTCCTTGACAAGGATTGGTTCAGGGCTATAATGCACAACCAAAATAGTCTGTGTAACAGAGAAACCCTTCTGTCCAGTCTATGGAATTTAATTCCATTGACTTCAGTGGTTCAAATTTCCATACAAGTGGCACAAGAGTCAAGTCTAAGAATATAAGCTTGCACATATTTACTTAAAAGTTATGTCCCACTATGTCCAAAGACTTATAGTTGAGCAAGTACATTTTGGATTAGTTGCCCAGGAATACATTCAAGGCATTCTACCACCTTGTGCCCTCCAGCTGTGTTGAACTACAATTCCTATGATCCCTAACCATTGGTCATGTTCCCTGGGACTGGTGGGAGACCTTGTTTACAGACACAATGTCTGGAAAAGGTGTGGTGATGTACACATGATGCTTCTATGCCAAGTAGTGGATTGATACAAGGTAGATGGCTTATTCCCCCATCACACACCAATATAACTGCACCATTATTTCAGCTGAAGATGGGTCTTACATTCATCTGCTCTGTTTCCTTCACACTCTATAGCAATAACGTAGGGTGATTTGAGCTGATATGATAACTACACATAGAAATGCATCTCAGCAGGGTGACATTTCTCTATCATGTTCCCACAATTACAATTTCTCACTGATGTTCTCCCATATGGTGAAACTGATATTTAATCTCATCTTCAGGAATGATTAAAAACTCACAGTTCCTGAGAGCATGATTAAGTATATCAGTTTCATAACATGGCTGGTATTTTGCCTTCCAATATGATCACACACACTTGCCCTCAGTTCCTCTCAGCCATCTGCCTATGTGGTTTGCAAAGTCAAATTTCCTACGGCAAAGGATGTTGTGGAATATTGGCATTTGTTCCATGGAGATCAGTGGTGAAGCTGCATGGCAGGATCCCATGGGGCATAGTGGTGATCTGGGAAAAAATAAATATTCTCTTTAAAGTGTGTCCAGGATTATTTTCTACCTTGTATCTCCTCCTATTGTGGGTGCAAACAAGCACACTTTGGTGGTGATACCCATACCAGGCAGACTGGTGATCTTTTTGTATTTTCTGTGTGCATTTATGTTTATGCATGCATTCATCTGTGATTGTGCATGTGTATGTGTGCATAATCTGTAAATAAGTGATGGTGTGTACTTATGTGTTAGCGTGTGTGTGTGTGTGTAAATATGTGTGCTTGAGTATAGATGTGGTGTTGAAGCCCTGCACATATGGGTACATCAATTCCTTAGCTTTTTATATAGCACTCGTTCCCGTTAGCTACATTCCTTAAGTGAACCAGAAAGCACAATTCCAAAATGGGATTTTTGCTCAAAAATGTGCGACACTGACTCTTGTCTCCCTGGTATGTTTTCAAACTGGAAGACTGCATATATTATGCCTCGCTGATGGCTATCGATTATGCCTTGAGGAAGAGTCAAGACCATCATTAAAACAACAGTACCAAGGCCTTTCTTTCTGCAGAACCAGGTGATAGAGGAAGAGCTCCAGAGGAGAACGTGAACAGGTCATGACCTGATCCATGTACTATCAAGTTGCATCACTGTTCCCTCCCACAGTCTTGTGGTAGTCTTGCCAGAGGCTCCTCTAAGGCCTTTGATCCCAAATAAGAGGCACAAGAGGAAGGGAGCATGCATGCAGGCAGGCAGGGATGGAACCATGGTGAAGCTGCTTGCTTCACTTCCCAACTTCTTCACAGCACCCTTCTTCATGTCCCTCTTCTCTGTCTGCTATGAATGGGTCCAGAGTTTGTTGGTGACACACAGCTGTCCATTGTCCTAGGCTTTTCATCCCCCTCTCTGTATCTATCTGAAAGGGCTGATGGGAAGGCTTTTCTTCCATGATCCAGAGAAGGGCAAGGACAGTTAATGAGCAGTAAAGGGGATGAGTGCAAGCATGTAGCCTGGAAGGAGTGTTTGATGTCTCTAATAATTTTTCCAGAAAAGCACTTGACTTTAAAGGCCATTGTTGTCACAGATTTCACGTGCTACGAATCATGTGGGGAATGGTTCAGCTAGGCTCTAGCTGATCACACAGAGCAGCAGTATGACTTATTTAATGAACATTTTGCATTGTACAGCCTCCAACCCAAGGCAAATCACTCTTCCCTAGCTCTTTCAGGACAATGGAGCAGAAGAACTATGCGGAGGAACGCTGCATCCCTCAACCTAGATGGGGTTTCTTCCTGAGGGCAAGCATCCAGAGATGTCGTATTACAATTTAGAGCTGTCCAAGGTGCTGAGTTCTATCTCTAAAATGGATCCAGAACTTGGACTAGCTTCTGTAAATTCTGCAAGCAGTGACATCTAGGACATATTCACAGTACCCCTGATATAAAAGCCTTCAGATGCCCCTTTCCCCTATTCCCACCACCCCTGTTAGGCACTTGATGGAGAGAATCTCTGTAACTCTTTACTCAAGTATCTCACCCAAACAGTTTAGACTGTCTCCCTCCATAAGCCTTACTCCCATATTTCATTGCTAGTTGTGTTATTGTATTGTCTCCTCCCCTCCCAATCTATGTCTTGTCTCAAACACATATCTGTACAAACAGTTAAAAGAAACTTCATTCTCCCTGCAATAGTAGTAGATCTAGCTGATACTTCAGCATTGGGAGAGACAGTCCTACTAATTATAAAAACTGTGCTGCCATTGTGCCAGGTGCTATTGCACTTTTTTGTCCATAGGAGTTCCATATTAGGTTGTCAGGAAAAGGATGAAAAAAGGCCAGTTGTGGGGTTTGGTCATCCTTCCCAAGAGATGAAGTGGAGCTGTGAGAAGGCAAGGGGCAGGACCACCTGACTTGACATTTCTTTAACCTGCACTTCACGCTCTCTCTGTCACTTTTTCTGTCTCTTTCTTTCTTTCTTTCTTTCCCTTTCTTTCTGTCTTTCTTTCTTTCTCACTCAGTCTCTTGCTTCACCAGCTTCTGGAGGTACCTGCTCCTGTCTTTCTCCAGTTCTAAATCCTGCTCCCACCTTTCCCCCCTGTGTGTGTGTGTTCGTGCTTAAGTGTGCATGTGTGTGTGTGAGAGAGAGAGAGAGATGCATGGGTGTGAGGCACAGAGCTTACTTTTCACAGGAGGAGAAATCACCACTCTAACCTCGCTCTCACTCATATTAGTTTTTTTCTCCTTCCTCCCCTTGCAGGAATTTAGATTCTCTTTCTTTGTATTTCCCTTTTTTCTCTTTCTTTCTCCCTTCATCACCGGCTGATCTAGTGATCTAGACAGAGACTTTTGGAATAACAATGACAACACAGTGCAGCAGAAATGGAGCTCCTACCCTCCCAAGGAGTTTATACTAAACATATCACCTTACGCCCCATACGGTGATCCACGACTTTCCCTCAAGTGAGTCTCTCTTTAACTGATTTGATCATATAGAGTGAGTATATGCACACACCTTATTTCCACTTTCCACTTCCTGCTTTCCCGTTCACCTTCCTCTTCTTCCCTCCTTCACCTGCTTCCCACACACTTCCCTTTCCCATGGACATTAGTCCATGGAGACGAGCAACCCCTCCTGCCTTTCCTTCCTCCCTCTCCCCTCCCATTTCCCACCATTTAATCCAGTGGTTCACAACTACTTTCATGTACATTGATTCTTAACTATGTACCTTACTGGTAGGAAGTCTGTTTGGTACTTTGGGTTCCCTGTGGCTGAAATTTTGGTCCTGAAGTGTTACTCTGGATCAACCCAGTGACTATTAACCATTGGAGTGGACTTCACAATCATGTGGCTAGCTTCCTTTCTTGTGTCTGGGCCTCATAAGTCCATGGAGACTTCAACCCATCAAAAGGTCTGCAGTGGCAAACACTGGTTAATGCATCCAAGACCTTGTAGAGCCTGACCAAAAGCCACGGCAATGCTGTTATCTTAGAGAAGAGGGGCAGCTTCAGTTTTCAGCCCACTGGGCTGGCATGGTGTTCCCAATGGGTTGAGAACCACTGCCTTGAAGCAGCTTAGTAAGAGGGGCTGGCACCTTTCCCTTCCTGCATCCTTGGTCCCTTTGGCTCTCCTCCCCTTCACCTGCCACACCTGCCCTCCCTTCTCTGCAGCACAGGATGGGGTTGCCCGTTTTTGGTCACCCTCTCAGCGTGTTCTCTGCATCTGCACAGTGTGGTGATGGTAGTGGTGGTAAGCTCTCTCACTAACATGGCTTTCTTTTCCCTTTGCCTGCACAGTGCCACTCCTAATGATCTTATCCATTGTTCAATCCTCCGTTGTCTATGGAATAAAGTAACTTTGGCTGCCATCATAACTTCACAACCAATCCAAGACTGCCTGCTGTCTTTGCCTGGGACAAAGGCACTCCTTGGCTTTTTCTTTTGCAGTGCTGATGTCTCTCTTTTTCTCTGTCTGTCTGTCTGTCTGCCCCTTCTCTCTCTCTCTCTCTCTCTCTCTCTCTCTCCTTTCTTTCTCTGTCTCCCTGTCCCTCCCTCTTTCTCTTCTCCTCCTCTTTGCTTGGCCTCCTTCTCTTGGCCACTTGCCACTGCTCACTCGCCCCCTTTCCTGACTGGCCCCAGTGGCTCATTGCTGTCAGGTGCAAAGCTGGCTGCCTCGGCCACGTCAGGGCTGGCAGGGGGGCGAGAAGGACGCCATGGGGAGAGGCCACAGCTTCGAGAGGACGGCATGAAGAGCAGCGTGTCTGCCCACAGCGAGCCCAGCATTGGGAAGGCGGGGAGAGGCCGATGGCAAATGGTGCAGAGCCATCTAGCAGCAGGGAAGCTCAGCTTATCCAAGTGAGTGAGTGAATGAGAGAGCAAATGAATGAACAAATGAACAAACAAGTGTATCTTGTTGAATTGGGCTCACCTGGACTTGCGTCACAAAAGGCATTGTAGTGAGGAGCAAGGGGTGGTGGGAGGACTCTATCCTCATGGAAGAATCATGAAGAACAGGAAGGAGTAGGTTGTAAGTATACACTCTGGAATACTAGCCCAGGAGTATCCTCATGGAAGAATCATGAAGAACAGGAAGGAGTAGGTTGTAAGTATACACTCTGGAATACTAGCCCAGGATCACTAGGAATAGCCAGCCCAGGAGCTAAGCTAGAAGGTTGTATTAAACACATGCATGCACATGCACACAATCATTTTATTCAGAAATAATCCAAAATACATGCAAATAATAAATGTAATAACATATGATTTCTTCATTTGAAATTAGATTTTACTCATAGCAAAGTACAAATCTTGCCAGCAAGTTTATGGAGTAAGGGAAAGGGATGGAAGAGGAGGATGAGTGGGAGAAAAAGATAAAAATAAAAGAAGAGGTTAAAAACTCAGAGGAATAGTGATGTAGGTCAAGTAGTTTCTGGGTGGATTGGTTGCTTATGAAAACTATTGGAGCTTGGCACCATTATGTATCAGACTAAAGGTCTCTCTGTCTTTGAGCAGTAATCATTGATAAGTCATGAATGACTTCCAGGTCAGTGGGGGATGAATGTTTCAAGAATTTATCTGATATATTCAACTTGTTTTAAGGATGGCATTCTGCACTTTTGACAGCCTTTTCAAAGTTCACACTGAAACCTGAAACAGATTTTCCAAATAAATGCCACTGTTTGGCCACACTGGTAGATGCTTCATAGTAAACATACAGTGAAATGCAGGGCAATTTGAAACACAGTTCAAGTGTGCAATTCATCTCACCCCTTTTCTGCAGCTACAAAAGTCTGCAGGGAGGTTTTTAGAAGCATAATCAGCTTGTGATGGGTTGCCAGACCTAATTGTAAACCACCTCCTGCTTTTTTTTTGTTTTTGACCTTAGTGTATGGGCAGTCCTTTGTGGCTTCTCAAAACATCTGTGGCCAAAGGAAATGGCAAATAATCCATTTGTTTTGTTGACACCCAAGGTGCTACCCTGTTGAAATCTTTTGCAATGTTTTATCCTTTGCTAGAGACTCGAGGGCCTGACTTGCACTGTAGATCTGGGTTAAATCCAATTTCTGCTTGTCCGCTGGCCCACTCTGAGTGTGCAAAACAGTGGAAATGGCAAGAAATGGGAGGATTGAAACAGTTTCCACTCACTTCATTCTCTCTCTCTCTCTCTCTCACACACACACACACACTGTAGTCATGTGGATTGAAACCAGAGGGAATGGGCACATGATAGTGATGAGGTATGACAATGTAAGAATGTTCAGAGATTGAGTCAGAGAAAGAGGGACTTGGAGATAGAGGGATACTTGGAGATAGATTGTCAGTGGTTCAGTTTATACAGTTGCTCTGAGCCCTTCACTGGCTAGTGAACCAGTATTTGAAGGAAATTCTTTTTTTTTTTCATTTCCCAGTTACTCTTGCCTTTGTTATCATAAATATTTTGTGTGCTGCTTAGTAATCCTAGAATACGTCACATATGTACAGAAAATAGGTTCTATTTTTGGAATAACTCCAGGGCCCCATGCACTTTAGCCTGGCTTTAGGAGCACTTTACTAAAGGGCATCACAAGACAGGGAGTGACCACACATAATGGATGCATTTGGAGGAAAGAACACATGAAACAAGGTTTTGACTTAGTGTTTCTGACCAACCCAGATGCAGTGCCACTGTTCCATGGCAAAAGCAACAGCATATTTGGCTATGGGCATTGCTTTGGTGAAAACAGCAAGGAAAACTCAAATGACATGTACTATGCTTACATGTGCATAGCTCCCTCCAGAGGGGTTGGACTATGACTCCCATTCTCCCCAGTAAATGTGTGGATAGCAGGTGATGCTGGTGTGTATATTAGAGGCATTTCTGTAGGGTTCCAGGTTGCCAGCCATTATTTGTTTAAATGACCCAGTGAGTCATTGGAAGAGGGGAAAGGTTTTTGAGAGCTGCCTAAAACAATTAAAACTGACAACTAGATTTTGCTATTGGCTCCAAGTATAATATCAAATTATTGAACTGAACCAAATCTTTAGGGTCATAGAATACTAGAATCATAGAGTTGGAAGAAACCTCATGGGCCATCCAGTCCAACCCCCAGCCAAGAAGCAGGAAAATTGCATTCAAAGCACCCCCGATAGAGGGCCATCCAAGCCTCTGTCGTGGGCTGGATGGCCATATGGGTCACATCTACAAAGATTCTTTTCAAGTTTTGAAAACTATTTACAACAATGAAATTAGACAGTAACACCATCCTACCACCATGGAACTCAAGTTGGTTTAGAAATAATTCCTGTTTGGTCTCCCGTAAAGCTACTGTTTCCCCTTCCCAGGGCGTTTGTGCCCCACTCTGTGCTAGTCATGGACCATAATAAAGTCTTGATTCAGTTATTGATATTGTCCAAAGCCAGACCTGGTTAGTTTTAGTAAAAAGGTGCCCTGGGATCATGCCCTTTTTCTTGTTTAATAGGGAGAGACATAAACAGCATTTCTGAAACAGTTTCTTCTGTATATGAACTTGTGTGTTCACTAGGAGATGGGAAAAGTGCATCCACCCTAGATGCACGGGCTCTCTTCAAATGTTCAAATTAATGTACATAGATTGGGGAGGAACCTATAGTTAAGATCTTATTTGCTGCTGCAGTGAAAAGTGAAAGATGCTGCAAGGAAAGAGGCAGTCGTTGCTGCCATGATGACAAGAGCAGGAACAAACGTTGTACCAATCAGGTGGCGTAACACTGAACTGTGGACTCTGCTGTACTCAGGAGATAGCATGGCATTTATAACCTGGCTGGGATGGCTTTTACTAATATATTGCCACCATCACCACTTTCATCACTTCATCCTCGTCAAAAAGTGACTCACCAGCAGGATTCCAACATCCCACCTACATGCAGAATTCAGAAAATGTATTTATTGGGAGTACAACTCCGCTAATCACTCCAGCAACCAGTGGTCCTGCTGTCATAGTAATTTTTCCCAGATCTGCCCTTTTATATTTGGAGAAGTCTAGAATATTTGGAAATAATTATTATTATTGTTTAAGGCCACTACAAAATGCATTTCAAGAAGATTTCCTATGGTGTAACATTTCAGCTTCCCCTATGACAGAAACTAATGAAACTTTTCTCCCAGGCCTCCTCAGTCCCACCTCAAGAACCGCTCACTTTCACATCAGTCATCACTTGCCACTCAAAAGCTTTTCCTATCCAGGGTGCATTATACATTTACTCCCCTGGCCTGTTCCTCTATAAAACGTACAGAAATATCTGCTCCTCATATTTCCAGAAAAGAACATTCCATGTTATTGAGCAGTTGCCGTGTAGAACATGTAAAAGATCAGACTGACAGCATTTGCTCAAGCAGCTAATGAAAACATACAGCTGACTATTTAATTGTTTAACATTTTACATTAACATTGGGTTTTGATGCATTTCTTGATTAAATAATGTTTCCGATGGAATATACTTGTCTGGAGTGCCAGTGTGATGTAATTATTTGAGTGATGGACTCTGACGATCAGGGTTTGAAACCCCAATCAGCCATGGAAATCCACTGGATTGCCTTTGGCAAATCACACAATCTCAAACATGGAGGAAAACAAAAACAACCCCCTCCAAACAAACCTTGCCAAGAAAACTGTGGTAGGTTTGCTTTTGGGTCACTATAAGTCAGAAATGATGCAAAGGCACACAACAACAAACCATACGTGTCCTACGTCTTTCATTAGTATGAAGAGTCTTGTGGCCAATTGTCCCTGTATCTCTGGCATGTGTGTCCTTGTGATAGAGCGCTCCTTTGCTGTGTCTGTCTGACCAAGATGCCCTTTGTTGTCTGCTTGCACAGTGGTCCTATGTGGTGAGAGCTGGAGGTGGGAGAAGGTACTACCTGCAGATGTCCTCGCAGGCCAGGTGTGGCTGGTACAGCCCCTACAGCACTGGGACTGCTTCCCGCACAGCAATTACCCTTGATAGAAATTTATATATTCTGCTGGCTCCAGGCCTAGAGGAACCAATTTTAGTTTCCTGTGACTGAGAGGTTGAAAATTGGACTAATTTAGGATTTGATAGAAAACCGAAATGAGGTCACTGTGTGTGGAGAAAGCATTGGCTGGGAAAGGCATGTTCCTGCCTCATGCCTGACCCAGCAGGTGGTCTGGGCTTTGGGGATCAGGACATGATCTATAAGCAGGCTTCTTGGTTATAGGTGAATGCCTGAATACGCCTGAAGGCAGAAAAATGAGTGAGGCAGAGAATGGGGTTCTGTTATGCAGATCTTACACAATCCCTCTCCTCTTTCTCTTTAGCTAAACCTTTATTTCCCTCTCCCTCCTTTCTCTCTCTCTCTATCTCTATCTCTCTCACTTTCTTTATCTCTCCTACTATTCTTTGCACTATTCAAGAAGATACAACTACTTTGCCATTGTAAACTTCTGGCATCAGCATTTTTTCCTGCTTCTGGTAAAAGTGGCTTTCAGGCCAGGCCAGCAGCAAGTAAGGGATGTTAGAACCCTTCTGCTATGAGAACCTGGCTTCCATGCTTCCTTGGTTAAGCTTAAGAACCTTGATATAGTTTATACAAATTGGCCTGTGAGTAATCTGTCGCTCCCAGACCCATCTGGCTGCTGCTCAAGAGAGTCCTGTCTCATGCTCATCCCTTGGGGAGAATTGCGGAGATTGGTGGGCTGATGAGCCAACTATGCACCTCTCTCCCATCACCTGTCCATCTGTCTGCCTCAGCAATTGGCCATCCTCCTCTGAGATTGTCACCAGCCAAGTCCTTCTGGAGTTTGCCCAAATGCAGCCTTCATAATTTTCACAGTTATGCCTTCAATCGCTTGGTTTCTCAGCCTGCCATACATGGCATGTTATGTTTCTTCCATGCTCTGCCCAACACAAGATCCATCTTCATCTCATAGCTTATCTGTAAGCAGGGTTGTTCATGAAGGGGCACTCAATAATAACCCTCTAAAAATAAACAAGAAAGAAAACAAAATTTGATATGGTAGAACAACAGAATCTTTGTTGTAAAGAATGTATACAAATCAAGGCAAACTGTGCAAATTTGTCCACTGTTCTGAAATTCAGCATTTTAGTTTTTCCAAGATTTAGAATCCGGATAACAAGAGAAACATGAAGAGACCAAAAAGAGGCAATGGGAAGATGATGGGAGGTCAAAACAAGGCCTCTGAATTTTTACTTACAATTAAACAAATATAAGGCTCTCTAAATAAATGAAGAAGAGGGAACGTGTGTTTTTTGTACAGTAAATCCTACTTTTCATCCCGTTCCTGTTGTGTCCAATTAAGGCTGGAGAGATAACTCTCTCCGAAACCCTCTATAGCTGCTGCCAGTCATTGGAGACAATATTACTTTGACCAATGAGAAGACCAGTATAAGACAGTTGCCACTTTTCCTAAATTTATTTTTTCTTGAGTTTAAATCCCTGCTGCCTCACCGTTTTTCATCATATTTTGCAATTGCAGACTTAGCCAAAATTGAACATCCCTGGGCATGGCTCCCCCTGTCTCCACCCAAACTCAACCGGTCTGCATGTTTCATTAGTTTGGTTGATTATTTTTATTTTTTTTCCATTCAATAACATAAAGGGCCACATTTGTTCTTCTCCTGTTTTTGGCTGAATGGGTAGCTGTTACCTCCATAATATGTTTGATAATGTGCTCAGCCACCTGCTTTGTGTGGTCAGCTATGAGGCTCTATGTCACGTCCTTTGAAAGTGATTTGCACTTTGTGTACAGTGGACCCTCTGGATCTGTGGGAATTCATTTTCAGGGTTCCTTACAGATGACAAACAAACCGTGGATGGTCACGCCCCATATTACTAAATGGTGACACGTGTGTGCATTCGCATCTGTGCATCCATTTGCACATTGCCACCATTTTAGATATGGACTGTGATGATCCACGGCTGGTTGAAACTGTGGATTGGGAGCCTATGGATCAGGAAGGCCTACTGTATTGTCTTTTTGAGCTAGATGTTCTGTCTTGTGTCTCTCTGTTTACAGACTAATGACCACAGTGTCTCTCACACTGTTATGTACAAATATAGAGCCATTTTACATATAACATATTATATTACCAGAGCTTGGGAAATTTCCTTTGCAGACTCTAACACCCAGAAATCTGAGGGATTCCAGAATGTAGGCATTTCCAAGCTCTTTGTGTTAAATCCATTCCTAATTAATGCCTCTTGTTTTTTCAGCTAATGGTCTCACTACACGTTTTACACAAATATACATAATAAAGACTCATTTTGTGTCTGTGTTTCTAGAAAAAATAATTAAAATAAGGGATTCATAGCATATATGAAAGGCAAGGTGAGGGAATGCTCAACTTTTCCCCATCTGACACTTTTTCATTCCATTTTCCCTCCACAAGAAGCATTTACCTTTTGTAGGATGGCAACTTTGTTTGTTTGTTTATTGTGAGCCACTTTGAATCTGATTTGAGAGAAAGGTGAAATATTAATAAAATACATATAGTTTCCCTTATATCCTCCCTTTTGTTCCTTCCACTCTCTAATTCCAAACACAGGCAGCAACTGGACTCCATGCAGATGTTTGCATGTCACATGGACCTAGCCTGTGGCATGCACTTGAACAGTTACATTTTAAGCTATATATTTAATGAAGGTACATATCACCACACCTATGAGGGAGTGGTGCTTGACTGCAGATTTATTCCTGTGCAATATACACAATAGCCCCAGTAATTAAAGGAGCATAAGGAAACCTGGGAGCAGCTGGTCTGACTCTGGAGATGTGTTGCACTCGGATCAAGGTAACAGCACAGTCCCATTAAAGAGGAGATACCACCCGTAGGCCCTGGTGTTGGCAGGACTGCTGGCTGATATATTGGCAGTTCAGATACAGTGAGCTCCCGTTGGTCAGCTCCAGCTTCCCATGCAGGACATGAAAGAAGCTTCCCACAGGATGGTAACACATCTGAATGTCCCCTGGGCAACATCCTTGCAGACGGCCAATTCTCTCACACCAGAAGCAACTTTCAGTTTCTCAAGTCACTCCTGACACACAAAAAAGAGACATCACTGCAGGGGTGAGACTACAGTGGGGACAAATGAGAGCATGGCCCTCCAAAATAATAGTTCTGCTTTGCATATGAAGTTTCCCTTCAGTCCCCAAATTTCTAGCATTGCAAGAGCAAGACATGAAAATAATTCACACCTAGTCTACTACATTCTTTGTGTTCATAGTAACTGTGCCTTTTCTTTGGATACCTCAGATATATTTCTAAATGCTCAGATGGAGTTGTAAAGTACTGCAATGGTAGACATTTGTGGATTGTCTCAACAGGAAGAATTTTTTATTTGGGAGATGAAATGGCTTCATCTCCCCACTCTCCCCTTAGCTATACTTTACACAGCTGGTTGCACAAACAGTATGCTGAATCTTTTCTTTTTCTCTCTCTCACACACAGTGCCATGTAACCCTTAACCCAAATTCGTCTTTCCTAATTTCAAGCTTGAGACCATAGTTAAAGCTAGGCAGGAGAAATTAGAAGGTTGGTTGTATGATGAGGGGAAACAGGGTGGGGTGGGGGGAATCAACACCTCTGTACCACAACCTTTTTTATTTTTCATCATACGCATACATACATGTGCATGGACACACAAAGAGAGCTTTTAGCAATGTCCCATGTATAAAAACACAAGTCAATAACCACTCCTAAATCAAAGTCTTTTCTCTAGTAGATCCCCAAATTTCAGTGAGGATCGGTTTTCCTTTTGAGGAAAAACAATGAACAGCTTTTAAAGGGAAATTAATACTAAAGGGATATTAATACTAAGAGGACATCTATATCAGATCGAGCAAACCGCTAACATGATCCATGTGGTTGCTGTAGCTCTGTGGCTGCTGTCTTGCTTCTCAAGCAGGTTTCTGTGCCTTTTCACTCTACGTGATGTACAGCAAAAAAGCAACAACTGCAGTTTGGCATGTAGTACCATGTAGTACCATGGAAAGCTACAGCAGCTGGCTGTCATGCAGTTGATAATGCGACAGAAATCTGCCTAGAAAGAGTGGCACATATAATTGTATAATTATGTGCCCTGGAGAACTGTGCTACTAAACTCAGGACAGGAATAGAAAGGTGGCACAACCCTACTGGGGAGGGGGAGTTTGGAGGAGGAGATGCAACTCTAGCACATCCCACCAGCTTGGGCATGCATTTCTGTGGCTCTGTTCCCAAGACACGTAAGAGTTTTCCTAATCCCACTGATCCTTTGGTGAGATGTCCTCATTCAGACCCTGTCAATAGGGAAACTGGTTTTTGGACATGCCACGTGTTACACAGGTGGTTGCAGCAGTAGCAGCTGGAGGAGGACAGGCACCAGGGGATTTTACCTTCAAAAAAACAGCTTAATTAGGTCTGTAAGGAAGGTTGGCATTCCAAGGTCTCTTTACAAGCTAAGAAGAAGAGGAACAAGATAAGTCGCTTCACAAGTAGTCCCACACTCAAGGACCGGAGACCATCTGTGTGTCGAGAAGGCCAAGCAAAACCAAAACAACATGCCCACAGGGCAGGGGCTGGATGCTGCTGGAAAAACAGAGATGGAGTTGCAACCCCCCAAGATGGTCTGTGGCTTCCGAAGGTGCCTGGCAGAGAGAGTGCTGTGTTGGGGCATCTTCTCTCTAACTCTCTGCTTTTCCTTCCTCCAATTTTGTCCCTTTACCTTCTTCTCCTCCTTTCTCTCTTTTCCCTTGCCCTTCACCTCCCTAAGTTTTGAGGATTCCACCCTGTCCACAGCCACTACCCTTGAGTATATCCCCACCTCAGCAGGAGACCCGAAATGCCAGCGCCCGCGCACTCTGTTGCGCCAGCAGAGTCTCCAACAGCCACTCAGCCAGCACCAGAAACCCAACCACAGCCAGCCCACCACCAGCCAGAGCCTGGGTCACCTCCAGTCCCATTCCAGCTCCACCAGTGGCAACCCCCGGGGCTGTCGGAGTGGGCAGTCACGGCAAGGGACCACCGCTGGCTCCAAGCAAAGGACAGCTGGCGGCCGTAGTCGCTCCAACCCTGGGAGCTGGGACCATATGGTGGGGCAGATTCGGAACCGAGGCTTGGATATGAAGTCTTTCCTGTAAGTTTTTCCTCACACTTTTTGCCCTCTTCTTTCTTTCTTTGTGTGTGTGTGTGTGTGTGTGTGTGTGTCTTGCACTTGTATGTCTGTCTGTTAAGTAAGTGTCAATGGGATGGCAGGTAGTTGATACCTTCGAAGGAGGCAGAAGGATGTGTGATGTGGGGAGCTCCCACTGTACAACTACTAGCATCGCAAAGTCAGCATTCTGCTCACTACACTGTGTGTCCTTTGCCAAGAGAAGGCATCTATCTTCTCTCTATAAACTTCCCTGTTTCAAAAATTTGCCCTTTAACATGAACAAAAATGATTTCTCAGTACAAGGAAAGCCTCTTCCAATGTCTTTCTGTCCAGAAATAATTCTAGATAATGAATTCATTTTGTTGCTCATCTTTCAAAGTTACAATGGGATTTCCAACTGACTTTCTCCTGTTAACTGAACTCTTGATTGTTATGCCTTAAGGAAGTAAGTTTTTTGATTTTTAAAAATGTGCTTGTGCCCTACAGTCATCCCACTCCCACCCCCACTCCCCATGCACAAACTAGACACATGTCCTTTCAGCTTTTGGCACAGTGCAATTAGGATGATGTCCTTTGGAGATCTTCACAACATGAGGAACTTGGGCTCCGTACACAGATTTTATTATATGACCTCCTAATTTCCTCTAGTTCATAACACATTGGTAGATTCTTGTACCCATGGGATGTAGGTTTCAGCATCAGTTGAGCAAAAGTGGCATGTGTGACCAATTATATCTTTTCTCCTGATTTTCAAATTGAAACTTTGAATGGTGGACTTGTAGATGTCCTATGAACTTCATGGTGAAACTTGAACCCGATTTGTCCGCAAAGTAACTCATTGTACTGTTGGGATTACTAATGTTACCTCTTTGGCATAAAGCTACCTCATAGCTTTAAAAAAATATTTTTTCTGCTCTTCGCTTGCCATGAAGTTTTCTTTATATTACTCCAAATCTTGACAAACACTCAAAGTGACTTTTCCACCACTACCCCTTTACAAACAGGGGGTTTGGACTTTTTGCCCATGAAAATCCCTGCCTATCAGCCCTTCAGGACCTCCTTGTTGTGATCTATAAAGGCAGCTTTGTCAGAGTGGTTTGAAGTGTGTGGCTTTTAATCTGTTTTAAATGCTTTCCCTGTTGGTGACAGCTTCTAAATTCCAAGCACCAGGGGCTAATCTGACGCCTGTGCTGTCGCCTTATCTCAGAGTATAACATTGTCACATTCTTCTTTTGGAGCAATGGGAGGTTTATTGTGCCTTCTTTTGCCTTAATGTTGGCCAATATTTTCCCAGGCGTGCAATAATTTTTCCAGTTAGCCACTTAAGGTTAATAGTACGTAAAAAAATAAGGATATGATTTAGTGATGCCTCAGGAAGTAAATATTCCCTATGTCTTCACACATAGAATAGCCATGCTTCAATCCAGCTCTCAGCTGATAATGACTCCATGAATTCTATAGTGTTTCCTCAGGCAAAGAATAACTACAGGTGTTTGGCATTGCCTTCCTCCAAAATATAGTCTACACCACATGTATTCCTTGGTGCCATTTCACTGAAATACTAAAGAGACCTGATTTTGTTTAGCTTCCAAGATCAGATGATATGGTACCCTCGGAGGATTCAGGCAGCTAATCAACATCTTGTTCGCTTTGTTGCAGCTCACTTGGTTGGGATGTTTAAACAAAGCCAGACTAAGTTTATCAGACTTCGTGTTGTTAACTCCTGTGGAGCAATTGCCATTATTTTACCACTGCTTTTATTTTACCACTAACTCCAATAGATCAAAGGCAGTTAGCTCCATACCCTCCAACCATCCCAATTTGTCAGAGACAGTCTCAATTAATCCTCTGATTTTTTTAGTTGATTTTAAAATTTTCCAGGTTCTCTTTCTTCTTTCTACTTCCTTCCTTTGTCCTCAGTTTATATCCATTTGCTGGCAGCCAAGTTCAGATGGCAAAAGTAGTTTACACTCACCTAATTCAGCAAGAGGAGAGCGCGGAACCCTGGCCTTCTCTGTAGGCTCAGGAAAAAGCAGACTGCTACGTCCTTTCCTAGCTTATAATAACTTTTCCATCTTGGCCAGATGTTATTTGGCTCCTTGTGTCCTGATTTTCTATAAAATGTTGGGAGATGTGAGGCTCTAAAAAATTTAGCACAATTGTGGGATAAGTAAAGGCTCCAGCATCTTTTCCTAGCTTTTACCTTTTGGCTCCAGCCAACTCTTCTTTAATAACATTTGTCCACCAACTTATGAAAAATATTGTAGAAACTCAAGCCAGTGAATATATCTGACAAAAAGGTTAGATTTAAATGCTCATGGAATACAGTTAAATTGACAGCTTTTGAAAACAGAACAACACATAGGTAGATGGTATATTGTTAACAGGTTATACCAAGAAACAGTAGTTTCCAGCACCAAAAGCAAACTCATTTTCAAAAAGTATAGGAGTTTCATCCCCTTTTAATTAGTGCCTTCTTTGTCTGCCTTTTAATTAGAGTGACATCTCAAGTGGATTTGCCGCCTTGGATCCATGAGAGGTAGACTCCCGTAGAAATATGGTTAAATATGTATCTTCTGTAGAAATACATTTTAATATTTGTATTTGTTTGCACTGTTTATGTATTTTAACTATGCTGCAACCTGCCTTGAGCCACAAGAAGAGGCGGGTAAGAAATAAAATTATTATTATTATTATTATTATTATTATTATTATTATGTCATATTAACTTCACAATACAGGAAGCTGGGAGGCCCTGGTGTTTCATTTGAAGTTAAAGGTCCTCAGTACCTTTATGTCTGTAGATCCTTTTGAAGAAAAATGAGAAAAGCATACGTATGTCCCTGAAAGGGATAGAGACAGAAGTGTTCAGCCACAGAAAACCAGAATATGGACTTAGGAATCCATTCATTATCTCCTAGGTCTAAAAAAGATCTGGAGTGTTCAAATGGTTTCATCAGATTGCTGTTGTTGTTTGTTTTTACACTTTTAGACTGCTCAAAGACTGCTGTTACCTGAGCGATGCAAATGTAAATTCAAACTATTTTTCTTTTGTTTAGGAGCACCTGAGAGCAAAGAAATCCATATACACAAAGCAATGTGTATCAATCAAACCAACACAACAGTGCCTAGTAGACCTTGAATGAAACCTTTTGGGAATGGCAGTGACTTCCATGTCTGTTGAGGCGGAGCACTCCAAGTTTCTGCCCAAACTTTAGAACAGAGGTGCCAAACTTGTGTCCTTCCAGGTGTTTAGGCCTCCAACTCCCATAAATCCTAGCCAGCTTGCCTAATGTCCAGGATGAAGCCCAAAACACCTGGAGGGTCACAGGTTTGACAACACCACGTTAGGGGGACAATCTAAATTGGTTCAGAACCATGAACTACATGTTTAAAGTTGTTCACCCAGAGTGAAAGTCGACATGGTGTAGTGGTTTGAGTTTGGGACTATGATACTAAGAGCAGAGTTAAAATCTCTACTTTGCCCTGGTAACTCACTGGTGGCCTTGGGCAAGTCACACTGTCCCAGCCTCAGAGGAAGACAGTGCTAAACCCTCTCTGAAAAAAACTCACTGAGATAATCATGTGATAAAGTCATCACAAGATATAATCAATTTGAAGGCATAATAACAAACCTCAGAGTAGTTTCACTACCCCATTGCCATGGGTGTCACCTGCCACCACTGGTATAGAACTTTTTTTTCTTTAGAGAATTTTTACCCCATAATTCAGCCACAAAAGCACTTTGAGCAGTTTACAAAATAATAATAATAATAATAATAATAATAATAATAATAATAATAATAATTTTTCTTATATCCTGCCACCATCTACCCGAAGGGACTCAGGGCAGCTTACATGGGGACCATGCCCAGCATAAACAAGGAATTCAAAGTCAAATAATTTAAAAAAACATAGAACTAAACAATATAATTAAAACAATTAAAAACAGTAAAGTAAAAACATCATAAAACATATCAATCAACATCAATCCCCAGTAACCAGAAAAACTGAGCATGTTCAGATTCAAGCAGGCAGGGTGAGGCTTGTGCAAAATGCAGAACAATCGGGCCAGGGCTGGAAGTAAAGTGCTGGAAAAAAACCAAAACAATAAATTAGGGCTAGGCAGACCTGATCAGGAACTAAACCATTATGTTAATTTGCCCTCAGGCTTACATGGTTTCAGTGCAGTTGAGATGGGTCCTTTGTGTATAAGTGGTGCTGCCATTCTTTTTCTTTTGGTGGTGGGAAAATAAGCATGTTTGGTCATATGTGAAACAACAGATCCTAAGTAAGCTCACTGCAACCAATGGCCAGAAAATGTTGTAGTCTGTGTGCATGTGTGCACTTACCAGTAAGAGTTAAACACAGTGGGCATACAACTGATACAGTAATGCCTGTCAAGTGGCTATTGTGCCCGTGGCATCTGTGTGACACAGAAATTAGAAACAGCTCGAAAGAAAGCTATGGCTCTGAGGAGAGTAGCAGATCTTATGAGGAAAGGCTGAAGGCGCTTGATATATTTAGCCTAATGAAAAGAAGATTAGGGAGACTGGGAAATTTGTTTGAAAGAATGTCAGAAGAAGTGGGGGAAATTGGAGTCAATGAAGACTGGATAATACACAGTGAGTTTTATTTGTAGGAAACATTTAGGAAAAACATGGGAACCGTAAGCTGAACAGGGAACAGTGGCTGTTTATGGAGGTTGTACAATCATATTCCTTGGAGGTCTACAGAGAACAGCTTGGCAGGGACTTGTCAGAGCAAAGACTAGATGCTATTCCTTCCAGCTCTGTTTTAATAACTGCATTGAAAACATGCCTTAATACACTTACCAGAGATAGCAATTGTTCTCCCTTCTGGCCAGTGCTCCACATTCATGGTGCTCTTTAAATCTGGCTCCTCAGAAACAGAGTTTGAGATTGGGGGAGCAAAGCTTGGGAAAATTACCTCTTTGGGCTACAACTTTGGGTGGGCTCTGG